TGCATAAAGTTAGGCATGACTTGTAAGTCGTAACATCACCTGTGGTGATAAAGAAATTGCAAGCAAAGAAGATCAAGTAATACACAAATATTCTCTATGTGGTGTACCTACTAGTGAAGTTCAGTCCAGTCATCCTTTAAAAAGACCACCTGCTGTCAGGATTTTTTTGCTTTCTTTGCTTACCACTACCTTGGCTGCAAAACTCCAGCAGGTAAAGAGCATTAAACGGTTACGTTGCTTATTGTCTTTCATTTCAAAAGTGAAGAAGCATCGCTGCTGAACTCCAAATCTTTAGATTCAAGAAAGCTCTCTGGGATTTGAGTGGCTGATGAGAAAGAGTCAGTTAATGTGACATAACTTTCACATTAGAGGGGAAAGGAATCTGATAATCTGCTTTTGTTTTAGAAATTAGAGTTTGGTCTACAGCATTCATTCAGAAACTATTATCAGTTGTCTTTTGATGTCTATATGTATGAAAATTTTTTTATACTGCAAAAAACAACGTAGAAAATTATGCCTGTTACCACCTATGAGGTATTTGGCATGCAATTTTTTTATACTGGTCTATTTTTCATATGAGGCTTACATTCAAGGGTTAGATCTGTTTTCAAACTACATTAGGAAAGTACAAATATCAGTTTCTAGAAGTTAGAGCTAAAACTTGAAATGTGAGAAGGTATCTTCAACCAATGGTTGAACATGCCTGTAGTGGGAGAACCTTAATTAGTAACAGATTTGATAGGAGTTAAAAATAAGATAGAGTGAGCTGAAGCTGTTTGAAAGGTTTTTGAAACTGAGTGAAACAAAAACAATTAGCACCTAAAAAAGTTGTGGGTTTTTTTCCCTTGAGTTTTTATGGTAGTAAATCAACAGGATATTTCATTCCACAGATGCCACGTGGCAAACAAGACCTGTCCAAAAAATCATATCTGGAATAATCAAATTTGCAGATGTTTGGCACAGCATGATTTTGGTTTCTCTTCTCACCTTGGAGATTCTGGTAAGCAGTTTGGCTTAAACGGTTAAATGTAGTTCTGTGTTTTGATTTACCTGAAGGCGAAATTAAAAACATGAAAAGTAAATAGCCAATCTTTTTCTTTATTGATACTATTACTGGTTGTTGCCTGTCTTTGGACATATGTTTGTTCTTAAAACACCTTAAAATGTACGAATTCAATACCATTTCTTCCCTTAAAAATACAGGATGGGTAGAGGCAAAATTCTGATAATTGTGCAACTTCTCTGCTGAATTTCTAGACACGTCTGAAGGATTCCATATTTGTGGACCTAACAAGGAGCTGGATGAAGAAACCTGCCAATGTGTCTGCAAAGGAGGCATGCGGCCCTCAAGCTGTGGACCTCACAAAGAATTAGACAGATCATCATGTCAGTGCACGTGCAAAAACAAACTTCTCCCTGCTTCCTGTGGGCCCAACAAGGAATTTGATGAAGATAAGTGCCAGTGTGTATGTAAAAAGACCTGTCCTAAACATCAGCCGCTAAATCCTGCAAAATGCATCTGTGAATGTATAGAATCTCCCAATAAATGCTTCTTAAAAGGAAAAAGGTTCCATCACCAGACATGCAGGTAAGAACTCTGTCTTTAGCCCTTTCGTTGTGTTTAAAGTATAAAATTTTGGGTTGTGTCATCAGCTGCCTCGTTGAATAGCTTTATAGTCTTAAGTAAACAGAAAGCCTCTCTTCAATTCAGTTTTATCTTCTATGACTTTTATCATCTCTGAGAGGAAACTACTAGGCAGAGTAAGTATTTTAAAACATGTTTAGTTTCTCATACTCTTACTACTACTTCATGTGTTTCTTTTTTTTCTTTTAATGAAAATGAGTTGTAAGTTCAAATTCCCTGTTTTGTTTATGCTACTTAAAATCACACTCTCTTTTTCCCAGGAACTGGATATTGCAATTCAAATAACTCAAATATCCCTAATTAGATTTCAGGCATTAGTTCTGGAGATACCATCATTCATTTTCACTTCCTAAATTCTTGCATAGCCTTCATTTCCCTCAACTGATACTAAAGATTTATGAGTGCACCAAAAACTCCTATAGCTCTGTGTGATTTCTGTGAAAAATAGACATATACAACTATAAAACAGACCGCCCACACTCATCCTTTAAAATGGGATTTGGTCAGGCAGAAAACTCTGCAATTTCTTTATATATCACAGGAGCTTTTCCTTCCACCACTGCTACACCCATAGTGGGTAGCAGTCTATATATAAAAAAATGTGAGTGACTTTAGGTTCTGAGAAACAAACAATATCTTGTGAGGAAAGTTTTTGTGTAAAGTGAGTTTGTTAAAACAGAAGAAAATGCCATTTGGAGCACAAAGACCACTTATTAATATATAGGAATTGTTTCTATTACAGTAATGGCAAATAACAATTCCAGAAACGTTCAGGCACTGGAAATGGAAAATAGAAATTTAGGACATTTAAATGTCTGTGGTGATTTGTTGCTTATCAAAAGTGAACCTTATGTATTTTTTTAATATAACATGTAATTAGTTGGCATAAATATATTGCCAGATATGTATATATATTAGTTCATCTTGTATAAAGAAAACATTTCTAATATTAGGAATGAGACCTGTGTTGAAGTCTCTAAAAGATTAATAATAACTGGCATTACCTGTTTTCCTATGTTTGGCCTTTTGAGTGGATGCAAGAGTTGCTAGAAACCTAAGAAATAATTTCTTCTCTATCATTCAGCTTTTATTTCATTTTTATGTTTGCAGAGGAAAAGAAGCCAACCTAACTACATGAGCACTAGCACGTTACAAAGCCTTAGTACTACTCTAGTGTACACTTCCAGCAGTGCTACACATCGACGCCATGTGTATTTTAAAGGAACAATGTGATATAGGGTGCTTTTAGCTGTTTCTCTTTTCTAAGCACTTTGTGTGGAGAAACAAAGATTTGTACATGGTGTTACTCGGTAGCTCTGCAACCAATATCCCTGTAGATGTTACCCCTGTCAAGGAAAACATAAGATGCAGTCTCTCCTCCTCCTTAAGAAAGGAGCATAGGTTTCTCATATTTTGGCTCTGTCCATCACAAACTCTCTCTAAAAGGAATAAAAACCTTGCAACATCCAGTTTGTCTTTGAAAAAAAGATCCATTGCTGTTATGAGACCACATAAATTGAGGTATCACTCTATAACTTTGCGCAAGATGCCTGACACCCAGACATGAGCAGAATCCTGTAGCCATTTCCTAGACAGTTCCCTTGCAGAGAAGTAGTCCTTGTAGGTTCTGGTTTTGAAGCACCAACATTTTTATGTGCTGTGCCTAAAATGCCTCTGCCTCTAATGCTATACGCTGCTCCAGAGGAAAGGAATACAAAGCACAGGATAGGAAGGAAGAAAAAGAGAAAAAACCCACTGTAAAGCATATTGGCTTTTAAGGTGATCATGCTGTTGCCACCACTAAAAATAGCATTCTACTTCAGTTTCATCTGTGGAGTTGTTAAGCTGTCCAAAATGACAAACCTGGGCATTCAGTAGCAAAAAATCACGATTACTGACCATAAAAACTTGTCACTGACTCACCCAGCACTATACATATTGACTGAACATCTGTCTTCACTCCAGCATGCTCAGATTGGTCTCATCAAACCAGACATCTGTCACACGAAAGCACCCTGTAAACAGCATTCAGCCCAAATCTTTTGAAAGACCTGGTCTTACTGTTCAGCAGAGTTTCCTAAGGAAACCACATTTATACAGTTACAATGACTCTGCTAGTATTCACCCTGTGCTATCACCTCAAAAATTTATTTTGGTCAGTTTTGGCAGGGCCAGACAGCTAGGCACCTCAGCTGCAAAGCATTTTAGAGGAGGAGAGGGGCTTTCTCGCTCTGTTGAAATGTCCCAAATGAGGATAAGACTGCAGTAACCCGACCTTCGCTGCTGCTAGTCACAAACTCATGTGGGAGACATGCTTTATAGCGCTGTTGACTCTAAGTTAAGTTGAAGTTCACAGTTCACTAGGAGGCACGAATCCTAAACAAAGTGAACTCATATTGAATGATTACATGGCTGCTTTTCATTTTGTGCAACATGTCATAGGCGAGTGGAAGAGTTTGGCTTTGTCCCACTCCACCCCGGCCCCCTTCTCTTTCTCTTACTTCATTTTACAGGCATTTAGTATGTGAAATAGTATAACTTTCATGGCGGAGGTGGGCAAAGAGGCAGGTGAGCTCAGTGGTCCATCCATTGCATCTCTGCAGAGTACCTGTTTCCCAGCACGAACCTACTGCTGGTGGCCCATTTGCTCAGAGTATTAGATCCTTTGGCAAACATGCAAGACAGTGACGTTCACTCGCTTTCTCAAGTGACACTGATTTTTGTTGCCTTTTACCACTGTTTCCAAACTTTATTGGGCAGAAGATCAGTAGGGCTTTGAGAGATTCCCATGAGCTGTTACACTGATCTCCAATATATTAAGTGGCACAAAATTATGTTGCTCCCTTAATTACAGAGACCACACTGGTGAAATAATCTATGATTAATGACATTGAAAACACCGAACAAGATGTGACTAGTTAATAACTTGTCATGTTTGCAGTCTCCCTCATTCCTTATTGTTTTCCTCGTAGCCAGGTTCCTTGGTTGAACTAGCTGGCTTGAATTAATGTAACTGTGATCCAGACCTCAATATCATAAACAAATTATTGCAAAGTAGTAACTTGGTATCCAAAACAAGCACACAACGTATTAACTTATCTGCAACAATAATAAGAGTAGCCACAGGCCTGAAACAAGAATTGCCTAGGGAAGAGGATAGTGACATTGCCTTAATATAGTGTACCGTAGTGTCTCTGAACTGAAGTAAGTATGAATTATAATAATAGATCATAATATCAGTGTTTCACAGAGGCACACATTATTTAAATACAAGTTTTAAGTAGAACTGTGTTGAAATTCCAAACATATACTTTTGTCTTTTGACTCATTGCCAGCATCTGAAAAAAACCCCAGACTTGTACTTTGTCTCAATTATACACCAGAAAGTATTTAGCATTGTTATTGTAAGGTTATTTTAGGTCAAGTTCTTGTTTTAATAGAAAAAGAAAATAGGAAAAGGAAGAGTTCAGGGACAAGTACAGATACTATCTTTGTATAAGGTATATTTTTCAGTCAAGGAATCTGTGAAAAAAAAAAATCCTGATGCTTCTTAGGTAGATATGACGTGTGGTGTAATGCTCTATTTCTGGTAAATTATTTTAATCAAATGGGGACTATTTCTGTTCTTTGTCCTTTAAGATTTATCATAAACATGCAGGCTCTGATCTTCAGAATGCACATAGGTGCAATATGACCTGTAGATATATCCCCACTGGCCTCAGAGAGTGGCTAGAGGAGTTTGCAACTTGAAGGAAGTATGTTCTCATTTTCATGATCAGTCACAGTGTAACATATATAGACAAATCGCTCTTAGGCTTATTGCATTAGTGAATAATAACGTGAGAAACAGTCCTGGGCAAGAAGATGGCAGATTTGATTATCACCTGATTCGGGATTGCCACCTTAAGCTGGCAGCAGGTCATAACAAGCCAATCTGAGTACAGAAAAATATTACTGTATTTTCAAAATCAAACTTTAAAGAGTACTACTCAAGATTAGAATGCGACTACCACCAGGCAATATATTAAAAATATCCATGAGTATCTATTGCAGTAGAATTGTTTCTCTTCAATAACATTCATTATTCTTTTCATTGTCTTTTGTGAAGACTAGTGCAGTTGAAAGTGATTGCAAGGACATAAACAGCAGTTAAAAGATATGAATTAAATATACCATCGAGAAATGGCAATCTAGACGTGCACAGATTCTACTTCAGGTTAATACAAATTACCACGTTTCACTAATGCCTGCTTTTTTCTCTTCTTCAGTTGTTACAGACCGCCGTGTACAGTCCGAACGAAACGCTGTGATGCTGGATTTTATTTTAGTGAAGAAGTGTGCCGCTGTGTACCCACATATTGGAAAAGACCACTTATGAATTAGTGAAGAGAGCACTACTTGCTATTTTGGTGTACATCTTTCCATTAGAACAAAGGAACGACAGAAACTTTGCTAATATTTGGAATGAAATGTTCACCAGAGACCCTGTGGGGCTTTCAGAGACAGACACATTGTGGTTTCCTCAAGATGTGGAAAGCAAATGTAGAAAATAACTGGGGTTCATGTTTTGTAAAGAACTCACTAAGGACTTATTTTCTGCCAATGACCAAACAGCCTAGGTTCTCCTTCTTGTGATTTTTTTTTTTTAAAGAGATAATGACTATATAATTTATTTCCACTAAAACCATTGTGCAGCATTTCTGTTTATAGCAGTAACAATTGTTAAAGCTCACTGTGATCAATATTTTTATATCATGCAAAATATGTTTAAAATAAAACAGAAATTGTATTATATAATGGTGAGAATGTTTAATCATCTGCCTATAGAAAGGAACTACAATTTTGCTTTATTTTCAGAGTACTTTACTTAAAAGGAGACAAGGTGGTTTAGAGAAAGCACTTTTATGAAAGGAAGGCTAACAGACATTTTCTTGTATCTGTTATATATGACATTTGCATTACAGAGAGTTATATTTATTTAGTGTGTCAAGAGCCAGTGATATTTCTGTCTCTAGAATGAAACTAGTAAAGCAAGCACAATTAATAACTAATGAAAACATTGGAGATCTTGTGCATTGCCCAAGGATATAGGGCTACGTTTAAAGGACAGCAGCAACTACTCACATTCCAATATAGTCACCTTTTATTTTATTATTTGTTAGCATTCCTAAAGAATAATATAAAATAATCTTTATTGAAGGTTATTAGTAGGGAAGTGGAAATGCCAACTATGCTTTTTACTTAGTATTACAGGCTCTATTGGAAAAGTTACAACTACATAATTCAGAATGCTCTAATGCACTTTTACTCTTTCATGTAGTCAATCAGCTATCTTGGTCAAAAATGTATGCGTGTGCAAAAATATTTTGAAGGAAAGTAATACATTTTACATTCCAATGGGGACATGAAAGGACTTCCACCAGTCCAGCATGGATTGGCATCATCTCCACATAAAAAGTGGTCAGGAGTTCTCTTTATTAAAGAGAATGCAAAATAGAATATCTACAACTCTAAAGAGAGGTAAGAGTTTTAACTTGCATGGGAAGAGCAATATGCATAGAACAATTTATTCAAAATTGCAGTGTTTCAGGACTTGGAAGGAAGTTGTTAAATTATGGAAATTTTATTGTGTGCAGCAGTGAAACAAGCAAAGCTAAAAAGCAAGATTTTTGTAACAGGAGCAGGCAGAGCTGCAAGAATAATTTTAGATGTCATTATTCTAAAGTGCTGGTTCTAAGCAGCTGTTCTTAAGAGTTATTAATTAAATAGTATTATTCCTGATTATTTCCTAGGAGGTTGGTGCTGGGGAGTTGCTTTTTTAGACTTTAGAATAAATATTTTTGACCCTTAGATATCAGAGTTCCTAAAACTGAGTGAAAACTACTTTTGATTTCTCAGCCCCCATCATGAGTTGAGGCGGTCTAACAAAGCAGGCAGGATGAGAGGTGGTTTGAAAGTTCACATTTTCCAGTGTCTGTCTACTGTCCTCAATGTTCCTCCTAAGAGGCCAGCTATTTATTATCCAAATAAGATAATAGGATGAAGTTTAGGCATACAAATACTGAGGAATGTCTTTATTACTATATTGCCTCAGCAACCAAACACAGGTAGAACTACGGGTGATGATTTAACATTGAAATACAACTTTATGCCAGTATAACACCACACTTAAAAGAAGAACTAAAAATATAGGTGATAATTCTATATACAAGTTATTCTGCACTAACTCTGAATAAAAAGCCTATATTGTTATTCATCTAAAACCTCTCTACCTTCCACAAAAAATACAAGGGGCGAGGCGGGGGGAGAGCGCATGTAACTGCAGTAAATCACATTTAATAGTAAACAGACTTATGCTTGCATTTCATCAGGAATTTACAACAGTTTCTGTATTCTCTCCATATCATACTATATGGAGACCATAAATTATGCAGAGCAACCCCTCTCTACCTGCATTAGCAGAAGGACGTACTATTTACCATCTGAGTGTTGTTAGTCTGCTGACACGTTTGTTGAATTCACGTTGAACAAGTTGATAGTAAATCAATTCTCTCAGTTCCATTTGAAAGACCAGCAGAAATCTTGCATGTGTACTGTATCATCTTGAAAGGCTTAGTGGTAGTATTGCTTTCAGTATTCTCGTTTTTAGTCTTCAGATCTCTGTGACAACTCCAGATGTCCTTGAATTTTAGCATCTCTCTCTCTCTGATTTTCTGAAAGTATAACTAGCTATCACATCTATGCTATAAGCTAGGAATGGAATAGTTTATGCAGCCAGTAAGCTCATCAACAGATTACCCTGAAGAATAGACCATATTCTTTTAAATATTATTTAATTGTACATTATTCGAAAGTACAAATGGTTCCCTCAAGTAGAAAAAGTTAAAGGTGCTCAACTCGGAATTTTCAGAACTTTTGTAATTTAGTCAATATGATATAGTAACAATTTTTAACATTATAAGATTTTTACTTTATTGAAAAATGAAAATAATAGATAATAATTTATTTAATACCTTCCTTTTGTTTTTTTCTTTTCCTTTCCCATTTCAGATAAAGCATCTGGGAAAGAACACAGGACAACCTTCTGTTCAAGTGATGAAATAACTAAAATCAAATGGACCAGGTATTTAATTTTTTTTAATGTAATAAAGGACTAATAAAGACTCATAAAAATAGGCCGGTTTAAAGCAGGTTTAAGACTCCAGATTACACTACAGGTCTAAAAGCTCTGGCTAGATCAAAATATTTGTATAGAATAACATATGTGGACTCATTTTATCTATATGTTTGTGTCCAAATATTGTAATGGAGTCTGAACAGTAGCAAGCATTAAGAGGTCACTGTTGTACAACAGCATAGTTTCTAAAATTTCAGTAATTTGTCATTATAAAAATGTATATTTTATCTATAGTCTGAAGCTATGAATCGGGGGACCTTACTTCAGCTTGAGAATGTATCAAATTACAAAACACAGCACATTCCAGAAAAAAACCCATAATCTTAACACACACTGCTTTGCTCTTTTGTATAAGCATTGCTACATGTTGGCAAACCACTATGGAAATCTCTGAAAATTGTATATTACCATTTATTCCCTTTTCTTCTTAGGAAAACATTTTCATGAAAATAACATCTTGTAGATTCAGGTATTTTTCCTGGGCAAGGGTACCGTATCCATTCTGACAGACACTGACCTTTCAACTGCGTTTCAGCAAACTCTTTATCCATTGTCTGCATTTGTAATGAGCCATACGTGGTCGTTGAACTCTTCCCCTTTGCCCCCTTTCTCATCTTAAATTACTTCTCCTAGATTTCTGGACCATATCTCAGTCTCCCCATAAGATTACCTGTATTTCCCTTAGCCTTTCTCACATACCACAGTTAACTCTAACCCTTCCATTTCCCTTTTATATCCAGTCTCTCGCTAAAAATGGCATTGCTTTCCTCTCTATTGCTATTAAGACCTCTTTCCTCTTTCTACTTTAAATAATCATGTGCAACATGGGGATTGATCTGTTTTTAGTTGTCTAGCGATACTCTTGACTGTACTATGGCTTTCATATATATGTGAAAGAACAAGTGTTAAAAAGAAGTCTGAAACTTCACATTCCAAGCATGCAAATCCCATCTGCCCAAGCAAAAAATAATAATAATAAAAATCATTTCAGTTGAGAGCCTCCCAAAGCAAATTTGCAAATAAAAATAACAGATGCAGAACTCACCCTGGCAAATTACACTTGAAATATAAAAGACAATTCATGCTCTTGCCCTCCCTGTAAAAACAGAAGCTTTAATTCTGCTGGATGGTGTCTCTGCAGACTAACATTGCACGCATGCAGTCCTCAACGCTGTCCAGTGCAGCATTTTGGAACTAAATTCAGCCTTGTAATTGAGTTTATGTTCACATCTCATTCACACTTTGTGGAAAAAAGCCAGGGCTCAAGGGCAGGTAAGGACACTTCAGACATACCGCAAAACCTGAGGTCTGTGCTCTTCCTTGGCACAGACATACCCACCTCTATGCTTTATACCACTGTGAAGACAGATGAAATGTGGTCACAGCATCCTTCCCAGAACCATAATGACGTTTTTAAGGACAGGTAGTATTTGCAAGCTCAGGTTGCCTTCATAAGATAAATGTGCTTCTCATCAGCCTGCACCCTGTCCAGTAATTTGGATGCAGAGACCTACTGAGTCACAGAACACTTTAGGCTCAACTCAGTCCATGGGTTAACATCAAGGTGAATATTATATTGGTTCTAGTTGCTCCAATCAGTTTTTAATAAACCATTTAAGAGGTAGATACTTATTATAAAATACAGCAAATAACTTGTTACTGAACAAATAAAATACCTTGGACTTGTATTGCTTTCAGGAAAAAAATTAGAACCCTAAACATACAAGCTGACATGCTGCCTGGAAGCTTATCTTGAATTAAAGTGAAGTAAAATTAAGATAAGCTTAAAAAAAGCTAACACTGAAATATTTTTCTGAGGCTACATCAAGTCAGTTTACATCATTAGAGACAGATGTAGTACATTTAGTACAAAAAGTAACATTTACTTTCATTTTCAAACTATGAAAAAATTACAAATGTATGCTTTATATAGAGGTTAAGCATTTATCAAAGGTAATTTCCAAATACACATTAAGTACATATTAGTGTCATCTCTGGGGGAACTATAAGACTATCTGACAGCACTTTTTTTTTTTTTTTTGCAAGGACGGGGCAGTGATGAGATGTTTTAATATTGCTACAAATATATATAAAAATATTAGTATTTTATTCTTCTGAAAGTTTAATCTCAGTAATAGGTTATGCTTTTGAGAATCAAAGCATTAGAAGTTCATCTGTTCATTCAGTACCTTACTGCACTAGATTTATACTGTACTAAGTTTACAAATATTCAGATTTTACAAATCTTTACAACCACAAGTCTTTAACTATTGAAGATCTACAAGTTAACATTTCCCTTTAGTTACTTGTCATTGTTCTTTAAAACTTACAGGAAGTAAAGCTTATATCCTTTAACTGTAATTTATTTTGAAAAATGCTTCTGAAAGAACTGGTTTTATTTTAGTAACTCTAACAAGGCTATGACAAAAAGCCCATAAATGACCGTCAGGTTAATAAAACTTCACCTTTCACAGCCCCCAGCCCCAGTTCAGTTACTCACTCTATCACCAGCCAGGGTCCTGCCGAACACTGTGTAGACGGGTTCCTAAACCAAGATGCCCTCGGAGCCGTTTCACGTTGGGGATGTGGCTGCAGCCACCAAGATCCTGGCTTCCTCTGTAACTTACCT